TTCAACCGCTCGTCAACAAGAATCAGCTAAGATTTCCCTCCAGACCAAACAGCGCACCACGCCATTACTCCAGTCTCCCCATGTTTAACGGTTGCCTGCAGATATTCAGTGTTCTAAGTCTCATTCTGATTTTTCCAAACATAAACCTGTCTTGAATTAGAATATTGGCAGAATTTGCTTTCATGTGTCCAAATTACAGACTGCCAAAATTTATAATCTTTGCTCTCGAATTCTTTCGCCCAGTCCATGCGCCTGTTCCTGTTAACTTCTGAAATCAAGGGCTTCTTTCTTGCAATTCCTCTTTGATAGCCTAGCTCTTTCAGAGTCTCTCTCACCGCATATGGCGCCATTTCCATGCTGTTGGCGACATCTTTGACGCTCTGACGACAGTTTCTGATGACTTTCTTTTTCAACGCCCTTTTCGTTCGCTCAGACACGATGCTTGGTCTTCCTGAACGTTGTTCCACACGACAATGGCCTTTTTTATTAAATTTTAAATATTAATGATAATTAACCTGGAAAAACCAAGCAATTTCTCTATTTGACTTGGAACACTGATGCCATCCTATTATTTGCCCTCGTTGAAATTTACCAATTTCCTTACTTCCGTGAACTTTCATTGCAAAATATAAGTCATCTATCGTTCAAAGATTAGAATAACTTCATACTAACATGTTATTCTCTAAAGAAAAGGAGAGACGTTAATAAACAAACCAAAATTGCTGTAATTAAGTGTGGCTAAAACTTATCTTAGCCCACAATATATATATATATATATATATATATATATATATATATATATATATATACTCCGTCACCTATATTTTTTCTTCTCAAACAAATGGAAAAAAAAAAGTGCCGTTTCACATACGGCTTGCCTACAAACAGGATTGTTCATAACCATTTTCGATTCTCACCCGTCGAAGTGCAGTTGAAATGCACTGAAACCAAGTTACATCTTTGTAGTGAATAAAATGGTTTTGTCTGTATGATAAATAATTATCGCTCTACTATCGGTATCGAGCCCTCTTTTGGATTAATGTTGTGAACGTTGGAATTTATATATTACTTTCGTTCTCATCGCATCGTAAGCCAGACTACATACGATATATATATATATATATATATATATATATATATATATATATATATATATATATATATATATATATAAATTAATTGATTTAAAATATGGTTTATATTTTAAATCAATTAATTTATAATATTAATGCTCTGTAAATTTACATTGAGCACTATTTTGTAAAATAAAAATATCTATAAGAACACCGGATTATATAGCTTGCTGTTCTTTTTTTTATATATATATATATATATATATATATATATATATATATATATATATATATATATATCGTATGTAGTCTGGCTTACTTTGGGTTTTTGGTAACTAGTGTGGCTCTAATGTATTTCCTTGATAATCGTATATTGTTTTAATTGTGGATAATCGGACTTACACTTAAGTTAAACAATAATTAGCTTAACTGAAGAAGCCTAACGCATCACCCAAATTGCAATACAACAAACTCCTGGGCGACATGAACCTGAAAGAAAATATATGGACAGTGTGAAAAGAAGATACGAGAGATACAATAGAAATGGAGCTTCGAAATGGGACACATTAAGAGAAGCTTTAGTGACATCAGCAAACGATATCATCCCAAAGGAGAATGGACGATGAAGAAAAAACGAATGGATCACTGATGAGATTCTCGACATGACGCAAAGGAGACAGAAAAACCTGTCAAGATACGGAACGGAATACAGAAAATTACGCAATGAAATAAGGACCAAATGCAGGCAGGCTAAAGAAAAGTGGCTAAACAAACAATGTGCAGAAAAAGAGGGATTGAGTACCACAGACAAAGGAGATATGTATAAATAAATAAAGGAACTAAACGGACAAAAGACTTGCTCATCAATTATATGCATAGAATCCAAGAATGGAATACTGAGAGAATGAAAAACTTCTTCAGTAGTAGAGCGAATATATTGGAGAACTCTTCCACGACGAAAAGAAACAAGCACCAATACACAGAACTAATGACGGGCCTGAAATTCTAAAAAACTGCACTGATGAAATTGAACAGAAACAAGGTGGCAGGGCTAGACGGAATTGTAACAGTGATGTTGACAGCCTTATATGATTTTGGCATAGACAAGATTGTAGAAATAATAAATGAAATCTACAACAGTGGTGAGGTACCGGAAGATCTCAGCAGATCTAGTTTTATAGCATGTTTCATTAAATAATATAGACAAGTTTTGTCTATTTATTTTAAGTAAGTTCCTTTCATATTGTCTGATAAGTTTAATCACATTATCCTTGAAAGACGAAAGGAAAACACCATATTGATACATAAGCCATTATCAAAGATGACAATTTCAATGAATCAAACAACGCACAGACGAAACCACAATGATAGTCCGCCATTGCTGCTTGAAAAATTTCAAAGTAACGACAAACTCGTATATACGAGACGCGGAAGCGAAAATCGCGTCGCAGCTCGTGGCGTCACACATGACCACGCAAGACTGAAAAACGAGAAGTATTAAGTATGGGAAGCCGTTGGTACAAACCAATGCCTTCTGCTATAAATTATAGGTATTTAAGAATATTTGTGGAGATTTCATAGTTCATTTTGTTTACGTTAGGTTTCATCTGTTTTATCTACTTCAAGAATTTTTAATTTTTGTTTATTGTTTTCGTGTTTAAGTATAGTTATGTTGTCCACAAGGATTTTCCGGAATTGAGTACGCGGAAGACATGTTGTTTTATATGTCTAAAAATGTTAAATTTATCATTTAATTGTAGAGTTAAGTGCCGTGAAAGCAAGTTTGTGGTGTGATCAACATAAATATTATTTAATCCATTGGAGATATATATATACGTAGCCACATATGGACGAGCAGGCACATGAGAGCGTACACACGAACACATACACTATGAAAAAAGCAACTTGCACCAAGTAAAAGTGCATAAAAAAAAAGAAAAATCAAGAATTATAAGCAGTCAATTGCTGATACACTCTGAAGAATGGATGGAGTGATTCCAGCAGGGTCAGTCTACGAAAATCTGGAGTCGGGAACACCAATCAGCTAAGTGAGAAACCTTTTACTTGCATTAATCATATATATATATATATATATATATATATATATATATATATATATATATATAACCAAACGATACACATATCCGTCAGTCAGTTAAGTGCCACACGTGATTTACATTTTGGGTAATCATGTATCATTCGATATATGTCTGACAAAGCAGAAGATTCTTCTCCCAGTAGGTTGCCATTTCTTTCTGCATTAGACTGGTTGCCAACCAAAGCTAAAGTACACAGTATGCCCTGCTATTCAGCTCATAGCTGAGAGGAGAATGGATGGATTCATACTTTTCCCAAGGATATTTGTGCGTAAGTGAATATAACAAATTCGACTAGGATTTGAACTCGGCTCTCAGAGTTTTCATACGCATATATCGAATGAAATTTATTTTTCAGACGACTTTTAAAAGTATTTTCTGTGTTTTAATAATTTAGAAAATCAGACAAAAGGGAGACATCATTTGCAGTAGTAGTGTTGCAGTAGGTTATAAGCAGCAGTTGTCTACCTCCAGCGAACACACAAACTTGATAGTGTCTATATTGTACCTGTGTATTTCAAGTGTCTCCCACTTCTCTTTCTTTTCCCTTTAGCGTAACAGTGTTATATTCCGTACTAACGGAATAAATACTTAACACCAGGTGGATAATAGAAGAAAGATTTATTGTACACAACCAGTACAATATGAAATACGGTACAGTTATACACACAGGTCAAACTAGTAGTGAGCACCACTAATTGGTAGGTCGGACGTGCTTGTGACTTCCCGCTCTAACTCTTCCTCAAGTGAGACCTATAGTGTAATAATTCATGGGGGTGACTGGTTATTCCATTACATCAAACAGAAAACCAAAAATCTTGCAAAGAAACAGATAAATCGGGATTATTCTTCATCAGATTAATATTAACACGACACGCAGCCATTTCGACGGAATTTCTTTTTCGACCTCAGTCGAGACCATAGAGTGAATTGTGAATTCCATAAACTTTTCAAAAGCTGGATAACATGTTTCGCATCAGGTCGACATAACCGATCTTGAATTCATACTTGTCCATCTCCTAGACTAGTTGCCAACCACGGCTAGAAAACCCAGTCTAGAAAGCTGGGGCAGAGGAAAAGAGATTGACCCATCAGTCAGTTATGTGCCGTGCGTGATACACGCTTAGGCGATCATGTACCTTTCGATACATGACTGATGAGGTAGATTTTTTTTCCCGTAGTAGGTTGACATTTCTTTATACCAGTTGCCATCCAAGTCTATAGAACCTGGTCTGTCCTGTCTTTAGCACGTAAGTGAATGTAATTGAATCGATTGGAATTCGAACTCGGCTCTCCGATTCCTCAATCCGAGCCGCTATCCATTATTCTACCTTGTCTCCTCATCGAACTCGGCTATCCGATTCTTCAATCCCAGCCGCTATCCATTACTTCACCATGTCTCCTCCTCCAACTCGACTCTCCGATTCTTCAATCCGAGCCGCTATCCATTACTCCAGCGTGTCTCCTCTTCGAACCCGGCTATCCGATTTCTCAATCCGAGAAACTATCCATTACTCCAACGTGTCTCCTCCTCCAACTCGGCTCTCCGATTCCTCAATCCGAGCCGCTATCCATTACTCCACCATACTTTACCCAAACGTATTTGTGAGATAGTGAATGTGAAAATGAACTCCACTGAAATTCGAACTCGACTCGCCGATTTCACTTTCTTAGCTGCGAACCGTTACACTAACCGCATTTCAAAAATAAGACTGTGTAGCGCCGGTCTTTCCTCATGAAGAAGCTTGTTTACCCATTTTGAAATCTGTCTTCCTCTATATATCCAATGTCCAACGTCTAATATCGGATATTCGTAACAGTTTCGGCAAACATGGATGGCCAAGTCATACCAACGATGATTACAGAAAACTGTGGCACATTTAAATCGTGATATTCGATATTTCAAATCTATTAAAAGAGATTGGAATAGGACTTTTATAACTGAAGAACAGTCTTTATGCTTCCGATTAAGTGTTACTTCAAAATCTTGCGAAATCGTGCACATATTTCAACGTCACAAATCCATATATAGGCCGACCAATTATATTAACGAAAAATAAATTATTATTAAATTGCTATTTATTTATCAAGAACGAAATCGATATTACTATGCTGAAGTTTCTAGAAGGTGCCGTCTCAGATCATGGTCAAAAATAATGCGAGAGGACTAGGCTTTTTACACAGAAAAAAAAAACATCTTTTTATTCAAATTCCAATGTTGTGTTCGTATATGTGAATAACTTTACAAAAGAGATTTCGCTATAGAAACAATACTTTCCTTAAAATATATATATATATATATATCCACTATTCCATATGTGAATAAGTTTACAAAAAAGATTTCGCTATCGAAACAATACTTTCCTTAAAATACATATATATATATATATATATATATATAACCACTATTCCATATGTGAATAAGTTTACAGAAAAAAATTCGCTTTAGAATTAATACTTTTCTTAATACATACTACATATAAATATATAAAAATTGGTGGTAAGCTTGAAATTTAGCTTTAGACTGTCCGTTTAGTGAAATTTTATATTTATATTTTTTTATTTTTATTTTTATTTTATTTATTTATATATTTATATTTATATTTATATTTATATTTATATTTATATATATATATATATATATATATATATATATATATATATATATATATATGTATGTGTGTGTGTGTGTGTGAGAGGCACGGGTTCGAATCTCGCCGTAGTCGATTTGACTAGAGTGAGGAAGCGATCCCAATATTAATAGGAGTAGATAGGTTCACCCATCGTCCATTTAACTCTCCTTCCGCTCTTTTGAACAGGAGTAAAGGTTTATCCCTTGTTTTATGTTTACGATTGGCTTTTCGATTTCATTTAAAATTTACTTCAACTCTATAAGCCTGACGTCTCCGAATAAATTCTGAAAATGTATTTACGATTTATTTGTTGTCATTTATTTCTTAATAGGAGTAGATAGGTTCGACTATCGCTCGGCTCACACTCCTCCCCCGTCTTTTGTACAGGAGTAGTGGTTTATCCCTTGTTTCCATTTTAGTACTACGTTTCTGTTTCCTTCTCATGTCTTCTCATTCCCTTTTACTGCCAGTTGTCCCTTTCGTCTCGGTGGCATTATCGCCTTGCTTCGAGCGAACGGATTAAAAAAATGCAGCACCTTTGGAAAGTGCCTTAAAAAGTTCCCTCGATTCAATTTAACTCACACATGGTATCCACGAATGATTTAAATTGGGTTGACGGAACTCTTCGGAAGCCATCGTGACCGAGTCATGTTAGTCATCGTGACCGAGAGTTTTAACCTAATGGCGTTGTTCAAGCTACTGATCATGATAGATTACGGGCTCTCAACCAGAAACAGTAACTAAGGTCCGCTCAGTTTAATTGCTGTATAAACGACGGGTGAGTTCTGGGGGTGATGTGTCTGAGCAGGTGTCTGCGACAGGGATTGACTAACCGCTCTACTAGACGGGTGTACTCGGAAAACTAGAGTTGACTTACATTCAAAACGCTGGCATAGTTTATGTTAGATGACGTTGAATTCAGTGGTCAATAAAGGCAATTGGTTATCACCATAGAATGCAACAATTTATGTGTAACCAAATGAAACCATTTCTAAGGAAATATACGCAAAGAAGGAAATATACAGAAAGAATCTACCATTATATATATATATATATATATATATATATATATATATATACACACAGTGCGAGGGATAAATTGTCGTCTAAATTACGAAAAAATGAAAATAAGACTCATTTCCTTTTAACAGATATATTTAGCAAAATTATATAAAAAATATCTTGAAATACTAACGAGTCTTTGGAATCTCCTGCAACTACTCTGGACGGTCTTCTTGATTCAATTGGTCAATGCTGGCATAATCCTTGCCTTCAATTCATCTTTAGTGTTACAAAGTGTTTTGTTGGTCTCTCGCTCAACTGAACACATAATAATCAAAAGGGTTGTAGTTTGGGGGGGAGTTAGGGGGAGTTAGGGGGCCAGATGTAAGGGGTGATGTAGTCTCGAAAAATTGTCTGCCTGCCATAACCCGAATATCTCCTGTTGTGTGGCATGGTACAAAATCCTGTTGCCAACTATAGTGTCTTCCAGCAGACACCCTCTTGACCCAGGGCAGCACTCCCTCCTCAAGGCACCTGATGTAACCCAACCAGTTGAGTCTGAAACCCTGTGGGAAGATGAATGGAGACATAACGTCGCCATTCACACTCCAAACACTTTTGTAATCACCATTAGACTCATCCAACTCTTTCCAAAACTTCTACATTGTATTAAGATTGGCATCGAAGCACACTGAAGCATTCCTATTCGAGCTTCCGGTGCGAATGCCAAGCAGCATAGCATGCCGTTTCCAAATTTCTGGCAGAGTGATGATGGTCTTTTTTCTCACAGACGGTGCCCAACTGACCCTACTATACTGTGCAGTCGACAAAATCAAACAACGCGCATGTGGGATAATTACAAATTTAAAATGGCGACAATTTACCCTTTGCAGCCTGTGTATAATATATATATATATATATATATATATATATATATATATATATATATATATATTAATCAATCTCTAGCTAGATATATAAAATGAGGCATTTTGTAGTAAAATATATACATAATGAATCAGCAAAATACATGTAATAAAGATATTTCTAGGAAATATTTATCATGAAGCAATTTCTAGCGAAATTCAAACCGTATACTGGATTTGCTATTAAGTTCAAGAATGTTTTTCGACCTCAGATAAGGGCAGGTGGTTAAGATCGAATTCATCTTCCATGATAACTGAATTTCGTTGCCTGCAAACAATTGCATTTGTGGGTAACTTGAACAGTAAAAGATGTCAGGATAGATTGTGCTGACCTCCTAGGTCAGCGGAGGTCATCTGAGATCAATGGTTTGATTAAATAACTACTTTTATTTACCTAAAGATAAGGCTAGATATCTCTGCTTTATTTGTAAAAAATTGTGCAGCCCTGAAAATCATTTCCAGACAAAAATTTAAGGGAAAACACACCCAGAATGAAACTTCATGAGTTGGAACGGATAAAGAGATTTCCGCGCGCTTCCACGTGGTGTAATGGTTAACCAGCTTCTCTCGCTAGATCAATTACGACTGAGCAGTGAGTTCAGTCCTTCTTAGTTACACCATCCATTCGGCTTTGTGACGTGTTTAAGATACGCTTAGGAAATTACCCTATTTACATTATTCGGACTATTGTTCTGCGGAAAGAAATATACAGGGGAGACAGACTGCCCCCTTAAGGTAAGGCTTCAAGAACACGAAAAGCTGTAACACGAGGAGAAGTAGAAAAATCAGGCGTGGCTGACCATATATGGAGAGAAAAGGGAGATCAACACCCTCTGTGGAATCAGAGAAACACCATTGGAAAATTCGTAAACTTAAGGAATCAGCACATATGCTAGGCCGCAAAAGTCTCCAGAGCCGACCAAGCATAGAAATGAATACAATATGGGAACCAGTAATAAGGAGTGCCAGAGAAAAGCAATGATAACAACAAAAATTGCAATATGAGATCTGGTAAAAACGTGCAATGATAACAGCAAAAAATTGCACTGGTAAAAAATGGTTGCTGAAGACATTAGGTTTATAAAACCCAGAAATTCATACACAGATGTCTTCACGGACAGATGGCACAGTGGATAAAGGCGTTGGTTAGATCGAGTGACAGGACCCAAAGAGTGTGAGTTCAAGGTTAAGGCAGTGGTGAATTTGGAGAGGGTAATTAACAGGAGATAACTGATATCCATTAAACATGGAAATAGAACAGTCTACCCTAGTGAGCAAAATAAAGGTTTCAGTTCGACATTCCAACTACCTGAAGAAGGCCGGGGCGTACAACGGCCGAAACGTTGTAATAAATATGGCGACAAAAATGAGGACAATAGTCCGAATAATGTAAATAGTGTTCATAATACCTCATCTCAGAAATATAGACAGATACTGAAAGGCCGCAACGTTGTAATAAATATGGCGACAAAGATGAGGACAATAGTCCGAATAATGTAAATCGTGTACATAATACCTCATCTCAGAAATATAGGCAGATAGAAAATAACCGTATAAATTGGTTCCTTACTGTAACCCAATAGGATAAGGACGAATGTTCTATACCCAGAAACTCCGTCGACCTTAAAATTTTTTCTTTTGTGCGTTAGGATATTTTTTCACTAATTTATTCATATATAAATATTATTTTAAAGCAAGTAATGAATTTTCTATTGATTATTTTTTATTACTACAAACGTTACATTCAGGGGACAGTCTTGTTTTTTAAACAGGGAAATTGATGTCTACCTGTCTATTAAGGCCTTGCTATATGTTATATTTTTGTTTCAAAGATTTTAAGTAGTGAATATATCTTACTTTGCAAAGCGATAGCGAGCGGGAGAACGCTGCTAGTTTTACTATAAATATGGATTTTTGGTAGGTAGGTTGGTTGGTTTTGGTTTGCAACCTATCAAGCTCTATGGGTTATTTAATGCTAAAATGTTGTTTTCTTGCGAGGTTTAGTAAAAAAAAAAAAAATTAATATTTTACTATGAAAATGTATTGCTGGTAATTTTTTTCTAATTCATTTTTTATATTTTCATGTTTTGATCGTAGTTTGGGGGTTCATTATTTGCCCATAGCTGGGACCCTAACAGGTGTTACCACCCTGAGCCTGGGAACAACAGCAATTAAGAGGTGGTTCCATGCTCCTCAAAACCTCCCGATCTGAGACCTTGTTGCAGGATGTAGTATATCGTCATACCCAGGACGACTTTAGACCCCGAAGTGCCATATACCCATCTTCAGAATCTGTAACCAAGTTTCGTGGTAGCGGTTCTTCTACTAGACGCCATAACTCTAGGTTCCATCTTACACGCACACATAGGCGAGGTTAAAAAGCAAAATAAAAGTAAACCTTTATTTTCAACAAATTGAAGGAGTGAAGAGGAAAACTTCCTAGCATGAAACAATTGAAAGCGCGTAATTTCCACCCTTTTGAACAGTTTGATCGCCGTATAAGTAGTTTTGCCTTACTTTGTGGATTTTAATTATCCGGGTAATATGAGTCTAATCAGAATGGTAGTGGTCACCTAAGAGGCTCTAATATTCAGAACTTTTTTTTCTTTTGTTAGTGGAAGCTAATTAGCACAAAGCAACTGTGATCAACTATAGTTCTTATAACCACTTTGTAGTTTCGGTTAAGTTGACCAAAACATTAACGCTTTGTTTATCATAAGATAGTGTAGAGAAGTTATAACACTGAATAAATAATTATAAACCCCCTAACATTTATATATACAAAAAAAATATACTCGTTCAAATGAGAATAAGCAAGACATGGAAACAACAAAGCAAGTTTTATTATCTGGTCCTTATATAGTGATGTAGACAGTTCCACTGGGAAAAATTGTGAGTTTGGGGGTCAAATATAGATCAAATATGGATCAGAATCCAACAAAAAGATAAGATAAAAAATAAGTAAACTTGTATACATTCTTTCTCGTATGTTTTTTTATAGATGTGTGTAATGAGTGTCGAGATAATTTTCTTAGAAAATACAAGTGTCTGGGGTTTTCTTTCCTCGATATTTTTTTTACGTGCTAAAAGATAAATGTTACTATTATGGCCTGAAAAAGGAAAAGGAGAAGAAATTTTCATTGACGCACATGTTAACGACCTGTCTGTGTGTACTACTTGTCCGATAGTGAGAATGTCAGGCGTTATTTTTGTGTATTTTTGTATCAATATTTTCATGCTTTTATCTTGTGGTAGAGCAACGCTAATTCCAGTTGACTGGTATCGAGAGCAAATTCTTCTCACTGAAAGTTCAGTCGTCAACAATGGCATAAGGAGCGTTTAGTTTTAACTCATCATCTTTTCTCTCTCTCTTTCTCTCTCTCTTTCTCTCTCTCCCCCTCTTTCTCTCTCTCTCTCTCTCTCTCTCTCTCTCTCTAAGACAGTTTGCTCACTAAAACGTGATAGTTGCATCCAAAGAAATAAGAATTAACTTTACCTCTAGTTGAATGTCACACATCAGTCCGAGGCTGCTGCAGTGATCACCTGATCGCCGCTGTCACACCAGTCCGGAGCTGCTGATCGCATGGTGAGGGTCCAGAGAAGGAAATCTTTGGTTTGACATTTACACCTGAGCTTTGCCAGCCTGCTCTTCCTTTCTGGCTTAAGGCGACTTGAAACATGGTGTCATACCCGACACCAAGTTTAAAAAGGTTTATACACAATCAGGTTTAAAGAAAGATTTCATCCTCCAGGTGTGTTTACTAGTGCCAGGTAGCAACCTGCAATTTATACCCTCACAATATGGATTTTATATTGTAGAGCTGAGTTTCCCAACCTGGGCGATATTGGCCACCAGTGGGCGATTTCAACAGTTTGGTGGACGATATAAGATTTTAAGTATCAAAAAAGTATATCAAGATATGGTACACGAAAAGATATTCAAAGGAGATATTCAAGGAACCTGTATTCATAAAAAAAACAGGAGTCTGAATGCGAATAACTGGCTCACATTTTTAGATAAGATGTAAATATCCCCTCAAACAAGGAATATTTTTGGTATTTTCTATAGTTTTAAGATTCATTAACATTCATATAGCTCTTCATGTAATTTTTTTTTTTTTTTTTAGATATAAATCAGATAAAGACCAAAAACAACTTTGCCAGTAAAGTTAAGAAATGACTCTAGGATAATTTTTATTTAACACAAAATTGTTTTTCCCATTTATTTTTATAACATTGACCATCCCGACTTTATCAAGGCAGGAAAAATACCGCATCAAGACAATTTACCCATCACTGTATGTTTTTGAATACAGAGGAACCTCGGTTCTAGAACGTCTCACATGTCGAACAAATTGGTTTTTGAACAGAAAATTTGAGATGAAAAGACCTCGGTTATTGAACAAAATTTCGGTTCTCGAACAACATAACCAAACTGAGTTAAAACGAACGGAATAATTTCTGAGTCGACCGCCGTGTTGTATACATTCGGGTGTTATGCCGTGATTTTCTTTTCTAATTTCATTGTACTGTGACTTTTTCCCTCTACATTGATTCCTATTGGAAAAAATAGTTTCGGTTTACGAACATTTCAGGTCACGAACGGCCTTCAAGAACGAATGAAAATCGTGAACCTAGGTTTCATTGTATTTACTATATAAGTGGGCGGTGGGAATTTTTTCAATGTGAAAACGGGCGATAACGGAAAACGGTTGGGAGACTACACTGACTACGGCTAAGTTGCGCGCTATTTAACCCATATTTTCACCGAAGGTAGCGAAGGTTTGAAACCAGAATTTTACTTCTCTTAGATGAACTCCTGGGCTAATGAGTTCCATCTATCTGACTTAAGCTTACGGCACCTGGTTAATCTCAAGCGGTATCCACTTTCGACGCTGATTAACTTCAGTGATTGCACGAGAAATAGTGTAATCGGTAATATGGCTGCAAAATTTAAGTTGCTTTATTAAAAAAGATTGTTTCGGAATTTTTTTAAGCGTTTCACCCCAAGCAAAGCGGGAAGTCACTAGCACGCAAGGGGGTTACAGAGAGTTGGAGCGAGAGCAAATAGGAGTGATAGAGGAAAGGATGAAGAGAAGGATAGGGGATAGATCAGGGCATCTGGAGACGTCGATTGACATTACATTTGAATAGTTGGAGATTATAGCTCTCAGGGAAATAAGAAAAGGGGAGGGAATTCCACAGGCAAGAGGTGCGAGACATGAAGCTATTAGAGTAGAAGAGATGGTTACATTTAACAGTTTCGACAGTGAAAGGGTGAGAGCGAGATGCCAGCCGAGTTGAACGCTTAAATTCATGAAGTCTGGGAACCAGCGAAAGCAGCTCATCAGAGCAGTTACCATGAAAGTATTTGTAAAAAAAAGACAGAGGGGGTCGATGGTACGTCTGTGAGCGAGAGACTGTAGACGAGAAAAAATTTGGCATAATTATTTATATTTTCAAATTTGATATTATGAAAGAAAATAAATATGGTTTTCCGTATATTGTTGTTTGTTTTCACTTTAAGAAAGGCAAACATGCGACTGAAATCTCCCAAAACAAAGATTAATGCAGATTTTGTAGAATGATTTGAATATGGTGAATGGCGGGAATATGAGTTATTTTATTCCGTTTGCGTGTCGAAGCGAATTAGAACGAACGAAGGAAAATTTTAATCAACATGACGTTTCTGCTTTATAAAGAGCAAGCCATTTGGCCACTGCTTGCTTTCATAGGAATGTTCTTTTTTTTTTAATATCACCAAGCATTGTCTTTTGTCTTTTCTTGGTACCCCCCCCCAAAAAAAATTTAATGTCCCACCGGTCTGATTCATAGCCAGACGCTGAGTTCATTCATATGTAAATCGTTCGATCAGATACCAACTGTCGTTTCGTTGTCGAAAGATCAAAGCCATTTGTGGACACACCGGCGCCGTTCTTTCCATTTCGATCTATGCAGACTTAACATGTGGTACATTTAATGATTATAACTATTTCTTTCAGCGACATTACTTTTTTTATTTCGTGTTTCTAACGGCCCTTCGCATCAGTTTTCTTCCGTCTGCACCCCCCCGCTTTCTTTCTTTCTTTCTTTCTCTCTTTCTTTCTTTCTCTCTTTCTTTCTTTCTCCCTGTCTTTCTTTCTTTCTTTCTTTCTTTCTCTCTCTCTCTCTCTCTTTCTTTCTTTCTTTCTTTCATTCTCTCTTTCTTTCTCTCTTTTTTCTTCCTTTCTCTTTTTTTCTCTCTCTTTCTTTCTTTCTTTTTCTCTTTCTTTCTTTTTCTTTCTTTCGTTCTTTCTGTCTTTCTTGCTCTCATTCTTTCTCTCTTTCTATATTTCTTTCTCTCTTTCTTTCTATCTTTCTTTCTTTCTTTTCGCTCTCTCCAGAGAAATAGATGTTGGCTAACGTGATGGTTAACAACACAGATAATGAAATCGAATCCCCGAATCCCGGCCAAAGCTGTTGTGTTTATTTCGGATTAATCCTTTTTGGGAAAAAAAACATGAATCGATCTTTTCTCCCCACCCCCTCTGGCTATATGTTAAATAATAGGGCTGACTGGTCCATATAGCTTTGGTTGGCAACCAGTCTAAGAGAAGAATGTCATCACTTCAACCGATTTTATTTTCCCTTATTACCGAATCCAATTTTGGCTGCTTGTGACCTGTGGGTTTTGTCAAAGATAAAGTCGTTGTTGAAACTATGTGAATAAGATTAAAGAAAATGCTGTGAGATACTTAACGGTGATCCCGGAAAGAAAAATATCCAATACCTTTTTCCACTTTAACTCAAGTCCTCACAGATTTTTTTAATTCCATTTTTCCAGGCAGTGGAAGTCACTTTACATTGAATATCTCTTCTCATCTTAACATGTGTCACGTTGTAAGCGTTACATGGTATCAGCAGTAAGGATTGTCCCCGACTTAAACTAGTGGACATTTTGGAAACAAACTTCCTTAGAAGTGTCCATCCAGGTGTGGAGTCAGATTTGTCCGTCTCCTACACCGGTGTAGTATGTGATTCACGCCAAGAAATAACAGATGGTCAGAATAATATCAATAAGGAAGTTGATCTGTGGTGACAATTATATGCACTGGACTCGCTTCCGATGATTCAAGAACTGACATTGCACTCACACGAGAGCATCAGAGAAGCCAGGTTTATCAGCGTAAGGACGTGGAAGTTCACTACCTGGCAACCAGGTACCAGATTTGAGCTTTCACTGCATGTCAGTTTCTGTCACACATCCACGCCCGCCCCGACGTGTAAACAGGCGATCGACCCAGCTGGGCTTAGGATGTGAGACAACTGGATGACCGGTAAATATATAAACGCTGCACCCGAGAGGGAAAAACAAGAAATGCAATAAAGCCAAATGCACACCTAATGATATTAATTGATGATGTCCAGAGTTGAATAAACAATAATTTTACGTATGAGAGATTTAATCTTCTGCTTTTATTAGTCTGTACAACGATAAGATTATACTGGTTGCTAAGCCAAGCCAAACCAAGCAAAGCTAGGGAGACTAATTTACTCTATTTTATTCACAGAGACCTAGCTGAAAAAGCACAGTCCTAGGTGCTGTTTGCACACAGCAAAAAGAGGATCGGGTTCATGTTTTTTTCTAAGGGAGTTAGTATGAAATAAACACTCGAAGTCTCAGCTGGAGTTTGAACTCGGCATGCAGATTTTGATTTTAGCGCTATTAGCAGTAAGGCTACCAGCACCTCCGCACAAATTAAATTGGTATAAATTTAAATTTATTCCGAACAACCTTTCTAAGACCCTTCGCTCTCCTTCTACTGATCTTGCACTTAGTATAAATAATACATTTTTCGTCACATCCTTAAGAACATTCTGGGCACAAAAAGAAAGATTTGACGATCCAGTTCTGTCGGGCTAGGGGTCGGTTTTCGAATTTTGGAGAGGTGCCGTTTGAACCAGAAAAGGAAGTTATTAAGTAGTCACGTGATATAATGAAGGGTCCGATGCTTTACACTCTGATGCTCTTCCGACCTCCTCTCCACCACCCCCGTCCTCATCCCCCTTCTCCTACGTGTTTCAGCGGCTGTCTTCACTCTTCACTCTTTTTTCAATCTTGATTTGAGTAGCGAGTACCGGTAGGACACGACCTTTCTCACCTCACTGGTCTCGACCGACGACCGACTCAACCCCTCCACTCCTTTAGTGATGATTAAACACGCCCCCAAAAATGATGAATAAGGGGCTGGTGGTACATCCGCCTTCACTTAAAAACGGTTTCTACACTTCCTTAAGACGGAATACCGAAAAGAAAGAAAAAAAAATCGGTCGATGAGCGCTGGGAGAGGGTTACCGCTACTGATAAATAGTAATTGTAAGCTATGACCTTTATTAGAACTTAAGATATTTAGATATATACTTTCTCGTCTTATGTGGGTGCAACGTTCCATTTTCGGCCATGAGACCCTCGTTTAAATAGCTCCATTACCAATTTGTCGAGTACGTAACGTGGAGTAATGGATAGCGGCTCGAATTGAAGAATCGGAGACCCGAGTTCGAATTCCAGTCGAATCCATTACATTCACTTACGTGCTAATACCCTTGGGAAAGGTATGAATCCACTTCTCTACCACCCCCAAGCTATGGGTAAATAGCAGGACACACTGTGTTCTATAGCCTTGGATGGCAACTGGTCTAACACCGAAAGAAATGGCAATCTGCTGCGGGGAAAAATCTGCCTCGTCAGTCATGTATCGAAAGATACATGATCACTTAATCATGTATCATGCATGGCACATAACTGACTAAGGTAAACCTTGATGTTATCTATCTGGGGAGTCTAGCGTCTCCGAAGGAAAGTGTCTGCAAAAACATACCATGAGTTGATGCAGGCCTTGTGAGTAAAACTAGGAATTGTTCAATTTACAGCAATTAAATCACAAGTCATCGTGACCGATCTTTCAAAGTTTTGATCAGGCCATTATGATCTCTCTTCCAGAGTTCCTCTCAGCAAAGTTGCAGTATAGTGGGTGTGGAAAAAATGTCCCTGAGAATCAATTTGCAACTAGAATTGACTAGCCTTACAGAGAAATGTGCTCAGAAATGAGTATTTGCCTAATATATTCATCTTTATCTATTTATATCTCTGAGATAAGGTATTAGGATTACTTGCATTATTTACATTATTCGGACTGTTATCCTCATCTTCATTGCCATATTCACAACGTTTCGGCCGTTGTACACTCCGGCCTTTAGTCTATGTCTCTCTATATATCTGCCTATATCTCTGAGATGAGGTATTATGATTACTTGTATTATTTACATTATTCGGACTGTTATCCTCATTTCCACTGCCATATTCACAACGTTTTGGCCGTTGTAGGCTCCAGCCTTCTTCAGATGATTAGAATTTCGAATCGAACCCTTTATTTAGTCCACTCGAGTAGATTGTTCTAGTTCCACGTAAATATGGCAATGAAGAAAAAGATAACAGTCCGAATAATATAATGCAAATGATTGATTGAATCGAACCCTTTATTTCAAGGACACATGGCCCAGTGCATAAAGACGTTGGTTAGATCCAGTGATTAGACCCCAAAAGTTATGAGTTCAATACCAGGCCACAGCAGTGGTGAACCAAAACTTGGAGAGTTGAGTTAAAGGGAAATAACTGAGACATTCAGAAGAGGCATGGCACGTAGAATTAGAACATTCCTCTCCAGTGGACTAAATAAAGGTTCGTTCGAAATTCCAATCACCTGAAGAAGGCCGGGGCGTACAACGGCCGAAAAGTTATGAATATAGCAATAAAGATGAGGAGGAGAGTCCGAATAATATAAATAATGCATGTTATTCTCTTCTTCATTGCCATATTCACAGTGTTTCGGTCGTGAGTACGCTCCGGCCTTCTTCAGGTGATTGGAATTTCGAGCTAGAACAATCTACCCTAGTGGACGAAATAAAGGGTTCGTCTCGAAATTCCAATCACCTCAAGAATGCCGAAGCGTTCAACGGCTGAAACGTTGTGAATATGGCAATGAAGATGAGGATAACAGTCCGAATGTAAATAATGTAAATATTCATATTTGTTGAAATCTATCGTTTGGTGAGTGTAGATATTTATCTATCTTGGTACTCTAGTAATATTCATTAGACTTTTTCGACTTGAAGACACACTCTAAGTCATTGTTACTCATGTTCATTTGTGTTTCTCCAACATTCACAGATCAAACCTATAGTTTATACGGCAACGTGAATGAAACAATCTCGACAAGAATTCGAACTCGGCTTGCCGATTCATCGTTCCGAGCCCCTAATCGTTACACAACCTGCACACCCACTGTAGTAACAGACAATGTAAAATGTGATACCAAAATCCGAAGGCGCCTTGGAATACTGAAAGATGTCTTCCAGAAAACAAGCAAAGTATAAAAATATGAAAACAACGATAAAATCTCGAGCTGCTATGTAATATCTCATCTTTCGTATAACCAGAAAATGGTGGACAATTTGCTTACCGATGCTAAAAAAGAATTGAAGTGACAGAGATGTGGTTCTACCGACGAAAGTTAAGAATAGCATGTGAAGTTCTAAGGAAAATGAGGAAGTACAAAGAAAGAGCTGTTAACAAGATGCAGTTGATATTTCTGGAACAAATAATAAGGAAACAAGGATTAGAGTGTTTAACACTCACAAGAGGAGGGGAAGAAATATCAAGTAACCTACTTGACGGATTTGTATAAATGGATAACTGAAGAAACGCCAGTAAGTAGAGGACCATGATCAGCCATAATTTGAAAAACATGACATATAAAAAAAAAAAAAGTAGTCACCACTGTGTTTATATATTTACTAGCATGTCAGCTAGTCTGCATCGGGTAAAAGCGGGAAATACTTGTGTCACAGTTGATTCTATTGGCATTAAAATGATTGCGAGTCAAATTATGCAAAACTGATTACTGAATAGTGTAATTAAGACATAACTTCCTAAGATTAATTAAGATTAATTAAGATATTAAGATTAATTAAGATATAACTTTATGCGTTTTAAATATATTCCAAATTAATTTTTATGCCAAAAGAAAGAAACAAAAACTATAAAATATCGACAAATTTGGACCTGCATGCACGCAAAAAAAAAAAGAAAAAAAAAACAGACTGCCAAAAGGATAGTTTTTCCCTTTACACCGCTATTATTTTAACTACCTTCACTCCTCGGTAATGTTTCCTCTTTTAAAAAGCGATGATTAGAATGGTAATAAAACCTGAACATAAGAGTAAATTTATACATATTCCTTCTTCTTAGGAATTCCGTATTGGACACATATACATAATACATTGACTAAAAAATGAGGAACCGCTAATATTTGTCACATGCCAGGAACCATAGACAATCAAAGACATTCTACT